GGCAGGCTCCGACCTCGTCCTTCAGGGCGTCCAGCACCGCCGTCTGCTTCGAGGCTGCAACGACCCCCGCCCGACCCACACACGCCAAGTCACCCTCGGGACTCACGGGGACACCCTTCCCCACTCTGGGGCCAGCCCCGGGACCTTGGTGTACCCACCCACCTACTCATCAACCCAGGAGCCCCGGCCTGCACGCACCGTTTGTTCTCAGCAGGTCCTGGCCACCCAGCAACGCCCCTTGCTGCTTGGAGGCTGCGGAGAGAGGCTCCTGCGGACGCGGCCTCGGGGACCCGGGACCCCCCTCGCCCCAGGGATGCGGGAGCTCCCGTCTTGGGTTGTAAAGAGAGGATGGGCAGGGGCACAGCGCACATGATGCGCCCAGGCGCCGAGGGGCGACAAACACACCAGACCGCACACACACGTTCATGCGTGCACATGCACCCGCATGCGGTGCACAGCCCCAGGATGCACACACACTGTTCACGTGTGTTCACACTCAGCCCCCGGCAGGGTCAGGGACCCAGCTGTTACGCCCTGGGGTGGAGGGAAGAAACTGAGCAGGGAGGGGGTGCGGGGCGGGGGTCGACTGGGACACGGTCTTCCCATTATACCCGCCACTCACCCTTGGAAAGTAGGATGCTCAGAACGAAGGCCCACAGGACTGTGGTGACCAGGAGAGCCAGGGTTAGGAGGAGGAATCGCCGGCCCCAGCGGCCCCAGGGCCCTTGAATAACAAAGGACTCGTGGGTCCCTCCAGGACCAGGACAGTCCTGGAGCCCTGAGCCCTGAGGACCCAGCCCAGGAAACTGGGATTCAGAGAGGTTAAGCAGCTTTCGGTGCAGAGTCAAAATCTGAATCCATGTCCAGTTGGCTCTGGGGCCTGGGGTGTCTCTCCTGCACCCGGGACTTGCTCCCTTTCTTGGATGTCACCTCCCTTGCCCATCAAATCCCCAATCAGAGGGACCCAAGGGGGCAAGTGAGGCGGTCCCACTGCTCGTTCATACCTGTGGGGACCTCCTTGAGCCCGCCACCCAAGTTGCTGTACTCCACAGTGTCCATGGTGAGCAGGCTCCCAGCCTGGGCTGGATGTAAATATAGCCCCTCCCTCACCCTGCCCCGCCTCCTCGCTCTTCCTTCCTTTTCATTTCTTTCCTTTCCATTGCTGGTACCAAGGACCCATTGACCAATCACAGGGCTGGGCCCTTTCTGGGCTGAGCTAGGGGGTAAGGGTGAGGTGGAGTAAAGGAAGTGGAAGAGTAGGGGGGTTGAGGAGGTAGAGAAAGTGGAGGGGGATGGGCAGTGGAGTGTGAGCACTTGCTGGTGTGTGTGTGTGTGTGTGTGTGTGTGTGTGTGTGTGTGTGCATCTGTGCACGGTACCAACCTCCTTTGCCCGGTAGCTATAGCAACATTTCCAGGCTGGTGCTGGGGGCTTCGCTTTGGTCCCCAGCTCTTATGGGTCAGAGGTTGGGTTTCCTCCCAAGAGGGACAGGCCTCCTTCTGGGTCTGGGGAAGCCCCCTCAGGCCTGGACTCGGGTCAGCTCAGCTTCACTCCTTAACTCTCCCATCGACGCCTGCCAGACGCTGATCCTGCATTCAGTCCTCAGAAGGGGGAACACAGATGGTCAGCCAAGCTTCTGGACTCAACCCTTGGGTGGGTGGGTGGGTGGAGCGGTATATGTATGTAGCTTCTAGAAGCCTCAGTTTTTCTCCTCTGTGCAAAGGAGGGCCTCTCTCCAAGGGATGCTGTGATAAAGAAATGAGGTTATGGATGTTAAGCCCTGGCACCATCCCCAGACACAAAACCCACTAAATGTTCGTTCATTCTTTCAACAGAGATCAAACACCTCCCGTGTTCAGGCATCGACCTAGGAACTGGGAAGCGTCCTATGGTGGGCAGAGGTGTAATGGCCACTGTATTGCGAAGTTAACTTCAGACCGAAAAACAAGGCAGTCAACTCCATGGTGTGATAGGATTCATTGTAGCGTTATTTACGTACGGGGAAGATTGCGCTGGAGAACAGAGGACCCGGCAGTCTGTGCAGATTGTTTCCCGCTACCAGACCCCCGTGACTGTGCTGTTCACAGTATAACTGAGTACTGGTGACCGACAGGACAGAGGGACGAGGACGCGGTAGTGCAGGGGCCATTCTCCTGCTGGTCTTGTGATGGATGGTTGTCCAAATCGATACTATGGCCAGTTTGGTTTTATTCTCGGTTGTCATGCCATTCTGTCATTACCAACAAAAATATTTATGATTCCATTTTAAGGAACACAGATAATCATCATCTAGAAGGCTTGATATGCTTGCTAAAGGAGTGAGGTTGGTCACAGCACAAAACTTAAAAATGAAATGAAATCCGGACACAGAGGTGGAGTGGGTTTTGTTCACATCTACACCAGTGCCCAAGTGAGCAAAGTCCCTCCTTGGAGCAAACACTGCAATAGGGGCAGGGATAGACCGACAGCAAATAATGAACATAATGAAAAAGGAAGGTGCATAGAGAGTGATTCTCAACAGGAGGATCCTGCCCCCCAGGGAACATTGGGCCTTGTCTGGAGACATTTGTGGTGCCACAGTTGGGCGGGGGGAGTGATACTGGCATCTAGTGGCATGCTGCTCAATACCGGCCCCCAATGCTGAAGGTGCAAACCCTAATAGAAGACATTAAAAAGTCCTCAGTGCTATAGAAGCAAATGCTAAGGAGGATAAAGGGCTTGGGAGTGCTGGGCTGGGGCAGATGACTAGGGCAGGCCTCCCTGAGAAGGTAAAATGTTATATTTTATCGAGCACTTCCTATGTTCCAGTCTCTCTTTCTCTTAGATCAGTGGTTCTCAACCTTCCTAATGCCGCGACCCTGTAATACAGTTCCTCATGTTGTGGTAACCCCCAACCATAAAATTATTTTTGTTGCTACTTCATAACTGTAATTTTGCTACTGTTATAAATCATAATGTAAATATCTGATATGCAGGATGTATTTTCATTGTTACAAATTGAACATAATTAAAGCATAGAGATTAATCACAAAAACAATATGTAATTATATGTGTGTTTTCCGATGGTCTTAGGCGACCCCTGTGAAAGGGTCGTTCGACCCCCAAAGGGGTTGCGACCCACAGGTTGAGAACCGTGGTCTTAGATCTAAATGAGAATCCTGAGCCGAGGGGGAAAGGACCACTAAGGACAGTGAGAGGAATTCTGTTCCGTGTGGAACGAGGAATGTCAATGAGGAGTCAGATGCTAACCTCAGGTAGACGATGTGGTCTCTGGGTACCCAGTTTCTTTGTTTTATTTTTATTTTTATTTTATTTTTTGGTGCCCTTGACCGGAATCGAACCTGGGACCCTTCAGTCCGCAGGCTGATGCTCTATCCACTGAGCCAAACCAGTCAGGGCAGGGTACCCAGTTTCTTCATCTTCACCACCAATAAAGTAGTTGTTGACTCTATTATGTTACTGTGGCCTTGAAGAAGGCAGATGTAAATGTATTATGAAATATTTACTACTAGTGGCCCAGTGCACGAAATTCATGCACATTAAAAGGGAATTAATTAGAGGAAATATTTTGATACTAGAGGCCCAGTGCATGGATTCATGCACCAGTTTGGTCTCTCACACTGGTGCACGATCGGGGCCGGGGAGGGACTGTGGGAGGGCTCCAGGGAATGTCTGGCTCATCTCTCCCAGTCCTGATCGACTGGACCCCAGCAGCAAGCTAACCTACTGGTTGGAGCATCTTCCCCCTGGTGGTCAGTGTGCGTCATAACTACTGGTCAAATGGTCTATTAATTGAATGGTCGCTTAGGCTTTTATATATATACTAGAGGCCTGGTGCACAAACATTTGTGCACTCGGTGGGGTCCCTCAGCCCGGCCTATTCCTCTTGCAGTGTGGGACCCCTCGGAGGATGTCCACCTGCTGGCTTAGGCCCTCTCCCCAGAGGATCGGGCCCAAGCTGCCAGTCAGACATCCCTCTGGCAGCCCAGCAGCCCTCGGGGGATGTCCACTTACCAGCAGGAAGCAGACCTAAGCTGCAGTCGGACATCCTTAGTGCTGCTGAGGAGGCAGGAGAGGCTCCCACCACCACCACTGTGCTGGCAGCCATCAGCCTGGCTTGTGGCTGAGCAGAGCTCCCCCTGTGGGAACACACTGACCACCAGGGGACAGCTTCTGCATTGAGCGTCTGCCCCCTGGTGGTCAGTGTGTGTCATAGTGACCAGTCATTCCCAGTTGTTCTGCTGTTAGGGTCAATTTGCATATTACCCTTTTATTATATAGGATAGAGGCCTGGTGCATGGGTGGGGGCCAGCTGGTTTGCCCTGAAGGGTGTCCCAGATCAGGGTGGGGGTCCTGCTGGGGTGCCTGGTCAGCCTGGGTGAGGGGCTGATGGCTTTTTGCAGGCTGATCACACCCCCTTCAGGGTGGGGGTCCCCACTGGGGTGCCTGGCCAGCCTTGGGTGAGGGGCTGATGGCTGTTTGCTGGCTGGTCACACCCCCTTCAGGGTGGGGGTCCCCACTGGGGTGCCTGGCCAGCCTGGGTGAGGGGCTGATGGCTGTTTTCAGGCTGGCCACACCCCTTTTAGGATGGGGGGTTCCCACTGGGGTGCCTGGCAGTCTGAGTGAGGGGCTGAGGGCCGTTTTTAGGCTGGCCAAGTGCCCCCCCCCACCCCCGGTGACGGAAGCTCCCAGCCTCTCCTTCTTTTCTTTTTTTTTTCCGACCTAACAGTTTTATTGCTTAAAGTATTACAAAAAGTATTATATATGTCTCCTTTTTTTTTTCTCCCCTTGACCTTCCCCTCCTCTCCTTCTTCTCTCCTTCTTTTCTTTTCTTTTTCTTTTTTATTCTTGGATTTATTTACCTTCTATAATTGAAACTTTGTAGCCTTGAGAGGAGCTCAGAGCCGGCCAGGGCAGGTGGGAGGTAAGCTTGGCTTCTTCCATCACCAGGGGCAACCCACTCCTGCTTGCTCTAGCTCCGTGGCCACGGCGGGCTGAAAGCAGGTAGCTGGGGTTTATTTACCTTCTATAATTGAAACTTTGTTGCTTTGAGTGGAGCTCAGAGCTGGCGGGAAGCTTGGCTTCCTTCATCATTGGGGCAAGCAAACCTCCTGCTTGCTCCAGCTCCGTGGCTGCTGGCCGCCATCTTGGTTGGGTTAATTTGCATATAGTTGCTCTGATTGGCTGGTGGGCGTGGCTTAAGGCGTAGCAAATGTACTGTCAATTTGCATGTTTGTCTTTTATTAGTGTAGATAGATTGCTATTTGCCCTTTCTCTATAATAGAAGTGTCAGAGATGAAAGAAAATTAGTAAAATGTATATGAAAATCTTCCTCCTGTCAGAGTCTAGGGCATGCCACAGGACCCAGAGTCAAGTCCCTGCCCACCCGCATGTGCCTTGAAATCACGAGAGACCCAGACCCAGCTGGCCCCACCCCCGTCAAGCCCCGCAGGGCAGGGGGTGTGGCCTCAGGTCCCCCGTCAAGCCCTGCCAGGTGGGGGGCACGGCCTCAGGACCCCCAGCCCTGGCATGAGGGTGTGACAACAATTTGCATATTAGCTCTTTATTATATAGGATATCCTCATTATCCTCCAGTCACCACTGGTCTGCTTTCTGTCATTAGATTAGTTTGCATTTTCTGCTCAGCATGACTATTGATACCTCATTCCTCTTCATTGCAGAGTAGAATTTGGCTGTGTGGCTGTACCCGTTTGATTACACATCCACCTGTTGGTTGACCTTGGAGCTGCTCCAGCGCAAGTATTTATGGGCTGTGCTGCGCTGGGCAAGAGCACCACAGGCACTCCTCTCCTCAGGGCTCGCACACAGCAGCCCCTCGCTAACTTATTTAACAGATACTCACTTAGTGCCTACTACGGCCTCTCATTAATTCATTTAACCAGTATTTACAGAGTGCCTACTATGTGCTCTGTTAAAGCTCTTGGCCTTGTAATGGCAAGTAAGACAGCCAACCCCTGCCCAGCTGGACCTAAACCTAAATATTTGAAAACGAAACGTTAGGAAGAATATCTGGGTAGAAACAATTTCTTAGTCAAAATATCAAGAAGACAACAAAAAC